GTATGTCGCTAAAATCAGGTGTCAAAAAGCTAAAGTGTTGTATTTTTTTATATATTTTGTAAATTCTACATCAAATATCGAAATTCAAAGAATGCTACACCATGTAAATTTGATTTAAGTTTCCAGGAAACGTTAAGTTGATAGATAGATAGATACTTTATTTCCTTCAATGTACATGAAGAGCTGAACATATATACAAACATATAACTACAAAAATTAACAAAACAGTTTAACTGACAATAATAACATGTAGTCAAATATATAACTGTAAACATAAAGCAATATCAATTTACAGAAAACAGCAACTCAGAAATCAATATTTACCATATTTCTAGAAGCATACTCATATTTAAGGTAAATAGATAAATACGTAAGCTAACAGACAAATAAATAATTATTGATTGATTGAATAAACCATAGAAATGTATCACAATGTCAGCTCTGTATTACAGCTTTAAAGAATTTGTCAGAATGCTTGTAATTATTCTGAGGAGTACAGATAATAATTATCAGTCTTGCTCTTGATTTCATCCAAAAATATATGATATATATTAAGAAAGCATTAAAATTTCGTTCTATATGTGAGACAATCTTGTTCGAAACGAAAGTTAACAAGAATCCTCAACTAGAAATACATTTTCTATTGTACTTTTTAACAGATAATTAAACCTGCAATTTGATTACTGATTCTAATGTTGTACAATATTTATCGGATAGTTTAATGTTTAATTGTATTGATATCAAAACTCATCTTGCCGAAAACATACAGACTCGAAATACAAGATCAGAAATATCTTTGTTCATTGTAGTGAGATGAAGTATAATTTATTTATATAAAGGTTTGGCTTACAATAAGTACGTATATATACATACATATTACTATGAGTTAGTTTACAATATAGAACAATCTTATGCAACAGGAATGGGGAAAAACAACAAGCAAACAAACATATAAATAATAACGACTCATACGTGTGTGCACATACATAAATTGAAGGTTAAAACGCCGTAACAATATGATTGTTTCATTTCTTACGTCATTGAATAATTAAAGTATACATTGTACTCATTCAATATACATTTGTATCATTAGTTCTACACAATTGTGTCAATCCTGTGTGTTACCTATACTGAATGACATTCAGTTTCTTTCAAACACATATTTATAATGCATTATTTTAACAAATAAAACTATTGATTATATTTAAAGACATCTTTAAACAGTAAATACATAACTCTAAGTGGGATGAACTGCCCATCTCTCGCATTTTCTAGTGTTATAGTGAGGATTTCGTCAAGTTGGCACTCGCGTGTCAACATTATCCACCTAATATAAAAGTAAATTCCGCGAGAATTTATGATATAGTTCCACATGGATGTACGCGGTGTAAGTAATTCCAGGCAAAAGTTCATAATATGATCAAGTAAATTTTCACATAATATTGAGCACAATGGGCAAAGTTCAGTATATCTCCTGGAGACTGTTTTCCCTATACTACATAGCACATGGGACGTAACTCTGCTGCACTTATGATAATTGACCATAGTTTAGATGTATTACAATGTGTTGGTAAGTAATTCACTGCGCCCTGTCTTTGGTGCAATAAAGTCTCTGTCCTACCTTGTTTCGATGCTATAAGTACTTTTTATGTTACATGTTTTTCCAAACATTCTTTGACGGAAATTCACCAGTTCTTACGAAGTTGTTTAACACAGTCAGGAGGTTATATTTTTTTAACAAGTTGTAGGAATCCGGTATAAAGCCAACGTATTGCCTGTCATTGTTTAGAAAACTAAATAACCGATTGAGGAATACTTTTTTGCCCAGTATCTACATGGAAGGCGGCAAATGTAGTTGTGGCGGCGTTTCATTCAAACAGCGATCCAGATTAAAAACGAACACGTTTCAAGTAAATATTTATTAGATATAGAATGTAAATAAGATTTTATCGGAACAAAACAATAGTTATTAAAGAAAATATATGATGTTTATTCTGCGAGACAGCTGTGTCGTGACGGTGGTAGTCCTGTCGTTAAGAAGATAGCTCTATGGTTTTTATTTGCCACGTTCTCTGTTTGTATACGAAATATACACGAAAATTATGTGATCTTAAAATTGTGCCCAACATTCATCGTACTTGAAGTCATGTTATAGAAATTATTAATAGTGACATTGCATTTGTATATATTAAAGGAGGGATAGAGCATTATAATATTTCATAGGTTGGGTGGTGAGGGGTCAGATGATTTTAAAATCTTGTGATGAAAAAGATCTTTACGATAAGGTTATAACGGGTATCATTATGTCTTACGAATGAGGAAAGAAAGCAACTGCTTGACTGTTAGGATTCAGATATTTTTTATTTATTTTATAGCAGTTATTCCTGCTTCAGTGTTTATTTACATCATTTTACTGTTATTGTTATAGGTATCAACTTCAAAATGAGTATTAAACAGTTCAAATATAAACAGAAATGTTGGCAGGGTCGGGTTTAAACGTTGACAAATGTCCCATAGTGGGAGGTGGGAGACTTATACAAGGGGGAGAAATACTACAACTTGTAAGTTTACAAAGTTTACAATTTAAACACTGTTGTCTCCCTTTATATATCGGCATATATTTCAAATATTAATAAAACCAAAGGAAATGTATCATTCATTGAAATAAAAATGTTGAAAGGGTTTTAAGTGGTTTAAAATGGACGTTTTGTACTAGAACAAATTATTATCTGCTACATAAGAATATTTCAAATCGGATCATACAGTAACTCGAGAATAAATAAGCCATTGTTGATGTCATTCGGTCATGGCAAATACCTGACCCTACTGATTTTGAAGTCAAAAGTCACAATGAAACTTATTAAATGTGTATATATTCTGTAACAGGTTAGAATAGATGTAAATTCGATACAATACAATAGCAGGCGATAACAGACGCCACGGAGACAAACGACAATTGTCGCATGCGCGGACATTAATACGGAATACCGTTAAAATACAGAGGGCGACAATGCGATACTGCGACAGTGCGATGACGACAATACGACAGTGCGATGACGACAATGCGACAGTGCGATGGCGACAATGCGATAACGCGATAGTACGATGACGACAGAGCGATAGTGTTATCGCACTGTCGCCATCGCATTGTCGCACTGTCGTCATCGCGTTATCGCATTGTCGACTCTCGCCTTCTGGTGGACGGTTCTAAACTGCTGGCGAATAAGCTGACGGTATAGAATATGGGATAATTTTACTTTTGTCAATATTTTTTTTTCTTTTTGTTTTCTTTTTCTTTTTATTATTTATTTGTTTGGTTTTTTCTGTATACTAATAATGTTTAAATGAAATCATAAATTTATAAAAAGAATCATTTTGTATATAAATACTGAAAGAGTTGTACATAGACGGAAAATGTAATAAATTGTGTGAAACTTTGTCGTCATCGCACTGTCGCATTCTCGTCATCGCACTGTCGCATTCTCGTCATCGCATTGTCGCACTATCGCATTGTCGCCCTCTGTATTTTAACGTATAACCACGATGGCCCTAACGGTATTCCGTACATTAAGTATACTTTCTCGCGACCAATTGACGAACAGTGCGCGGCAAAATGAACAATTAACATAACAAATAAATTGACCCGTGACAATGCCACTGTGTCAGGCAGTTGCAAACAGTTGAAGATATTCACTTGAATTGTAATACATGTCTTAAATGACATAGTATCTTGTGCTCATGACATGGTAACTGTGCGCACGACTCAATTGTCTCGTGCGAACGACATATATATCATCTCGTGCGAACGAGATAAATAAAAGCATGTCACCTCTGTGTCACAGTACGTAGTTCGGTGTAATAAATAATTCTAGACACTGCATAATGAAATTGTTTTTAAAACTTTAGTGAGTACATATCTTTGAGCCATTGCTAACCTGACCTGGCGGTCTCTAAAATTCTACTGGTAGTTCTCAGCATGTATATACAAGTAGTCCAATAGAAAATTTATATGAAATTTATTGTAATATAAATTTAATTATATTGTACGTGTATAATTATATAATGCTGAGGACTGACATGCCCAACCCTGCATATCCCAAATATGTCGGGTACTTTGTCAGAAAGAAGCAGTTCTTGTTCTTCAATAAATTTTCTTGTGAAAATATTATTTTTTCGTTCCAAATTATTGATTTAATCATTATATTTTCTCATGAAATATAGAAATGATTATGATACTTAATTAATTATATTGTACGTGTATAATTATATAATGCTGAGGACTGACATGCCCAACCCTGCATATCCCAAATATGTCGGGTACTTTGTCAGAAAGAAGCAGTTCTTGTTCTTCAATAAATTTTCTTGTGAAAATATTATTTTTTCGTTCCAAATTATTGATTTAATCATTATATTTTCTCATGAAATATAGAAATGATTATGATACCTATGGTAATTGGTCATTGCACGTTTTCAATGTTGTTGCTCTTCAGTTATATGTTTACATTCGTATCGAAAGAGTTTACACATTATCAGAGACATGGATAACTATGTTATCTACATCTCTGCAGGGTCTTTCAATGAGAAATCTCTGGTATTATTAAAATCGCCATCACAACATCTTTTCATTAAATATTGTTGTTTTTATGTATTACATGAATATGCATATGTTCAATAAGTTGTTTACATGTTCAAACGTTATTACAAAATATGTGTTTAAACTAAACAGATAATTATATGTTTAAACTGATTGTCATAAAGTATTTTATAATTTCATTCTATATTTTATGTCAACGCATACCAACAAACCTCAGTGAAGTGATTCGGTTTTTAGTAGTTTATCAATGGACGGGTCTTGAATATATAATTTAACTTTTAATAACTTTTAAACCAATTTACACAACAGAGGAGTTGTCTTGGAGAAGTCTTTGGGTGTCGACCGATCCGAAGTACGCTAACCACTTCCAACAAGATTACTTCCCTTACATTAATAGCGCCATTTGTAATCCATTGCGTAACAAATACTGTACGGTAACTTATTTTCAAATTTTCTTACTAATTAAAGTTATTTTGAAATCATTTTGTTTGTTTTTGTTGCAGATACATAAATTCTCTCGTTAATCCTGCATTTTTCAATGTGTATTTTGTAAAGCAAACAAAACATTTCAATTTTACAAACTTTAAAGAATGCGTTCGTTAAAAGTTTGCACATGTTATGTTTTATAAAACACACTTTGAAATACTGTAAATTTTATCGGTTAACTTTTGGAATAAATGAATAGTACTATATTACCCTTACCTGATATCAACTTCATGAAGGGGGTGATGCCATGGACGAAATAGAGTCAATACGGCCTAGAGTCAATTCGGTCCGCAGTAATTTCGGCCCAAAATGATCCACCAGCCTCTAAAATAGTTCATGTGGCTTTATTTTTTCCAAAATTTTGATATTATACATAAAATAATTCCTGCCTTATTGGCCAATGCATAGTTCTGGCTACCATAACTTATGTCGCTTTTATTTAGCAGTACTGTGTGGTAGAAAGGGTCTAGGATATACAGGGAAAAAGAGCAAAGTTTTTTACTGTACCTGTTGTCTGTCCTTCTTGCACTGCAAAGTCAGTGCAATGGTTTTGTTTTGACATTATTATTGAGTGAGCATTTGTTAAAATAGCACTACTGGGGATTTTAGCAAGAATTTAACTACGTGACCTTTTTTAGGGTTTGAAGATCCATAAGTCATAATTCCAACCATTTCCCCAGGAAGAGATGGTGTGGATATTATTGACTAGTGTATAAAGCCTTGGCTAAGGTTTTGTGTGCACCTGCAATTAAAAGTAAACTGACCTTCTGTTGTCTTTGTAGATTTTCCAAAATATATCTAAAATGACTCAGAGATCCATCCACTGGTTCAGGAAGGGCCTCAGGTTGCATGATAATCCAGCTCTGATAGAGGCATACAAGAATGCGTCCCATATCTGGCCTGTATTTGTTCTAGACCCATGGTTTGCTGAGACAGCAAGGGTCGGTGTCAACAGGTGGAGATTTTTGTTACAAACACTTCAAAATCTTGATGATAATTTGAGGAAAGTGGACTCTAGGTATGTAAAAAATTTCACCATTTAAAATACTTTTTTTTGTTGGGGAAAATATACAGTATTTAAGCTCCTTCCTCATGGTGAACAACTTTACAACATTTTCATGGATTTTAACAAAGGGTTATGGTACTGGGTTACATACTAAAAAAACTGTTATGATAAATCCAAAATTATGATGGGATAAAACCTTGTAAATTATCAGGATAACTATCACCTAAATCAGGGATTTATATTACAGGGATCGGACACTTCCAATTAATATAAATGCTTAAATATCTTGTCGTGCGCCCGATAAAGGTACATCGATCGATAAGCATAAATGCCCGTTCGCAACGGATACCTACTTTACAAAATACTATACAGCTTTTCCATTTATTATCCGATTTTGGAAATTTAAAGTTTATTTTGAAGAAAAATACTTGTTTAATTCAAATATTTAATTTATTTTTTAAAGGTACAGTTTATCTGTCCGCAACGACGATTAAAAAATTAACTTGACGAAATCCGCGGTAAATTTACATTTCTTAAAAATAAAAAGCAGGTATTTGAAATTTATTATTACGGTACCATAATAATTTCAGTTTCAAAATAAAAAAGAAGCCGATGTAAGTTATTCACAGATGATCAAAGATGCAATATTTAAGATTTATTGCGTTATGAACGAACAATTGTTTAACGGGTAATGTATTGCGGCCTTTACAATTCGCAAAATTTATTACTTTTTTGGTACAAAATATTGCCGAGATTGTCAATATTGTCATATTCATAGAATATTTAAATTTCATTCATCATTTATATCTTTATTATTTTTTGTAAATCTGTTTTCAAATGTCGGTGCAGTGAAGTCGACAATCATCGTAACAGTAAAGTTCTGTCGTGTGGCTGTCTCGATTCCGGCCTTTTTAATGTCACTCGTATATTTTAATCTGTATATTTTAATTATTCTTTTTATTTGAATGCCTGTAGAAAGATATTTATGATACTTTTTAATGTAACGCTAGAAAAACAAAAATCTTTACAGTTTAAGTAAGTATTTTGCGAAATAAAAGTAACTTTTGATTATTTTTTTACACATCGCTTAAATTCTTTCAAGTTTAATTACTTTTGATCTGAAAATATATTTTATACACTAATTAGTAGAATATTTACTATATTTATACTAATATACAGGTAATCAAATAAAAAATGTACAAATCTTTGGAAATAATTCACAGAAATAAAGACACATTTCAAACATGAGTTTCTTTAAAAGTTTTTTTTAGCAATCAAGAAACATTTTTAGCTCGACTATTCGATAAGAATAAGTAGAGCTATTGTAGTCACCCGAGCGTCGGCGTCAGTGTCAGCGTCGGCGTCTGCGTCGGCGTAACCACTTATGTTAAAGTTTTTGTAATAGTTCAAATATTTTCACAGTCCATTGACATATGGCTTTGAAACTTTGCACACTTGTTCACCATCATGACCCCAACCTGTAGACAGGAGGAGGTAACTCTATCAAGCATTTTGACAGAATTATGCCCCTTTTTCGACTTAGAATTTACATTAAAGTTTTTGTAATAGTTCAAATATTTTCAAAGTCCATTGACATATGGCTTTGAAATTTTGCACACTTGTTCACCATCATAACCCCAACCTGTAGACAGGAGGAGGTAACTCTATCAAGCATTTTGACAGAATTATGCCCCTTTTTCGACTTAGAATTTACGTTAAAGTTTTTGTAATAGTTCAAATATTTTCAAAGTCCATTGACATATGGCTTTGAAACTTTGCACACTTGTTCACCATCATGACCCCAACTTGTAGACAGGAGGAGCTAACTCTATCAAGCATTTTGACAGAATTATGCCCCTTTTTCGACTTAGAATTTACGTTAAAGTTTTTGTAATAGTTCAAATATTTTCAAAGTCCATTGACATATGGCTTTGAAACTTTGCACACTTGTTCACCATCATGACCCAACCTGTAGACAGGAGGAGGTAACTCTATCAAGCATTTTGACAGAATTATGACCCTTTTTCGACTTAGAATTTACGTTAAAGTTTTTGTAATAGTTCAAATATTTTCAAAGTCCATTGACATATGGCTTTGAAACTTTGGCACACTTGTTCACCATCATGACCCCAACCTGTAGACAGGAGAAGGTAACTCTATCAAGCATTTTGACAAAATTATGCCCCTTTTTCGACTTAGAATTTACGTTAAAGTTTTTGTAATAGTTCAAATATTTTCAAAGTCCATTGACATATGGCTTTGAAACTTTGCACACTTGTTCACCATCATGACCCCAACCTGTAAATAGGAGGAGGTAACTGTATCAAGTATTTTTTTTACTATCAAGCACTAAGAATAGTCGAGCTTTGCTGTCCTACCGACAGCTCTTGTTTTGCAATGCCACCATTAAACCATGTAAAAAATAGTTATCTTATTCTGAATCGCGGTAATTAATCGTGCTTGAAGTAAAAGGGCGCTGAAGTGTAGAGAGTATGCCTAAACAATAGGCGAATATTTTTTAAATTAGGTACTTTTTAACTAAGCGTTGCAGCGTTCTATCGGCATATTTTCATATATTAATACTTTAGCGACACAAAATAATACTGTATCAATACATTCATATGTGTATAATTTTTCACAAAGCAGCAATAACACCACATACTCTTGTGAAAATCTGTCATATTTCGCAGTCCGCGCGTTCCGCTATCTCATTTTGTCCACCTTTATCCGATTCCGCGAATGCGCGCGACGGGACTTTAAGCTAAACGAAAGTGTCCGATCCTTGTAATATAAATCCGTGCCTAAATCTAGGTCATATGTACATGTATTTAATATTGGAAAGAGAAAAGATATTTCATTTATAAATAAAAATGGGTTGTCTTGTTCCAGTATTTCTGCAGATATTAAAAAAAAAAAATCTAATATAAGAAACTTTATGTTACAGAGTTTTTTTTTTCATTTCAGACTGTTTGTTGTTAGAGGTAGTCCTAAAGATGTGTTTCCAAAGTTGTTTAAGGAATGGGGAGTGACAAAGTTAACTTATGAAGTAGACATAGAACCTTATGCAGTGGAGCGAGACAGTATCATTGATGGTCTAGCAAAGGATTCTGGGGTAGAGGTTGTCCGCTGTGTTTCCAATACTCTATATGATACTCAAAAGTAAGCTTTTATTTGAAAATCATACTAGAGATGATAAATACAATGTATCATCAAAATTCGGTTATAAAAAGCTCATATAGATAAAGAAAATCCCAAATGTTCTGTCATACCTTATTTTTAAGCATTGTTTAAAACCAAAGACCAAAAGGGAGGTTATAGATAGCCTTTAAAGCTTTTCATGTGAAGGAATTCATCATTTACAGTAGAATTCAATATCAGAACAATGAGGGTATGTGTTGTTCACAGTCGACAATCTTAACCACAGAGGATTTATGATGGTTTATATAATAGACCGTATGTATGGATTGTAACATTTAAACTGTATCTGATTAACGTTTGCAATGAACCCAAATGAAACTGATCTTAAGTATTGCAGGTAGGAGGATTACACAAAAAAAAAAAATTGTCTGACCACATCTTCCTACCTGTTGAATAGCTTTTGCTAAGTTTAAGATGATGGCACCTTCATATTTATCTTCCATATACAAATGTACTGAAGCCCCTCAAAACAAGTTTGTAACCTTCCAAATTAATATACATGTACTGGGATAAGTCCAATACTGAATTCCAGCCAGGTAAGTTTCAGATAATATTTATATTTGTTACAAAGTATCTTTCTATTAAAAAAAATGAGTATTTTTAACGGTATTATGTTTTGATAAAGGCACAATTATCTTTCAGAACAATATCTAAGAATGGTGGAAAACCCCCAATGACTTACCAGAGATTTCAGACAGTGATGTCACAGATGGGAGCACCTGCTAAACCTGTAGCTGTTACAGATGATCTTAGAAAAGGTAAATCTATGTAATTATCTTCATCAATCAGTTTATTTTTGACCTGTCTTCCTGCAGACAAAAGTGACTTTAGCCATAGGTTCTTCATTTTTATTATTCATTATTTTATGAAAATTACAGCCCTTTGTGATCCTTGAACGTTGATGGTTAAGTTTGACTTGCAAGATTACCATCACATTTTAAAGATTTGCAGGTCATTTACTAATTGTGAATGAAATCTGCATTATTCCTGCCCTTTTTAACTTTTAAAGCTCTCAGAATAATTGTGTGGGCTGTTCTATTGGCAGCTTTTGTTACATTGTTCATAGGGAATGATTTTAAGATAAAGATATACCAAATTAATAAATATGAAAATTTAAGTGCATTTTCCATATCCTATGAAAGAGTTAATTCGTTATTTAACAAATAATACATGGTCTTGAGGGCAATATGCAAGTTTAAGGACTGATTGGTCAGACTGAGGAAGGTATATGGCCCGAAGCGCAGCTGAGGGACATATACCTTCCGAGGTCTGACCAACCAGTCCGTAAACTTGCATTTTGCCCGAAAGGCCATGTTTTATTTGTTATTTTGTTATATTATACCGAATCTAAATCCTTTCATCCCTTTTGTTGCTGACATTTTTACTTTAATTTACTTTCAAATAATAGAGTCTAATTTATTTGTTAAGTGTGTGAAATATTTCAAACCCTAGTCGGAATTATTATTATTATTTTCAAGTGATACAGCAAAAAATCATGCTCTTCTGTTGTTATTCAATTTTTGTTAATCAAATTAAACAGGCAAAAAACCATAACTTTAAGATTTAATATGACGTCATTCAGTCCATATAAGAATTATGGACCGCCCCCGGTCTGTATGCGGTTTATGGACCGGATGACGTCATATTAAATATAGAAGGGCGTATGCAAATGAGGTATAATATAATCATATATATATAATGTAACAATATCAATACAGGCTGTAAAACCATCATTGGTAAAGATCATGATAAGAAGTATGGTGTACCAACCATGGAAGAGCTAGGAAAGTCTGCTAAGGATTGTGGGCCATGTTTGTTCAAGGGTGGTGAAACTGAAGCCCTGGAGCGACTAGATTTGATGACAAAGAAAAGTGTTCGTAAAAAATATGTTTTATTCAAGCTTCTATCATGCATGTGATTGATTATGAGTGTTATTGAATAAAAGTGATGAAAACAACTCTTTTACACGGAAAACCAGAGGCTGCAATTTTATGCACAGTAAATATATTGTTAATATATTTTCTGAAATTATCAGAAGCAGTTTTTTTAAAAATAAACAACTCATATTTGGGTAAAATATTTATATTGCAAACATTTATTAAAATGTAGGAAATTCTTACTGAGATGTTTAATTTGAAAAAGAGACAGAAAAAAAAATATGTTTGGGAATCTACATTTCCTATTGCTTGTAAGGGTAATTTTTGTCCTTTTTAGAAAAAATGATTACTGTATTAATACTATGTTTACATATAGTGTGTAGAGTTTAAAAAATAACATATCTTCTTTGTGTGTTCTCCAAAGATGTTTATTTTACTTTATTAAAGAGACTGTATAGTAATTATCATTGACATTATTTTCAAATATTAAATTTAAGCATAATATATCATTAAGTGGGATAATAATAGTAATAATAAAATCTTTATTTATAGAAGGTAACATACAAAGTTTACACAGTAAGAAGTATACTTATTTCCAGTATGACCTTCTGGTTTAACAATGACTCAAATGAATAACACTCAATATATCAGTGTGTTGTTGATATTTTTCATATGATACAAATGTCTTGTTGACAGATACACCTAAAACAATTGCAGCCACCATTTATCCCTGCATAATCATAAGATATGACTAAGTTGGTTTGAATTACTTTTGTCTATGCCTCTTTGAGGTGAGATGGTTTTGGCCCCTGGTGTTGTCCTATGTTTGTAACACCTGAGGTTAGTCATAATCATCTTTCCTTTATCTGCGCAATATTACCTAAAGTGCGTTGGTGTGCTGTAAAACCAAACCAAGCAACCAAACAAACAAACAAACAAACAAACAATGGCATGCCTCAAACTTACTACAATGTATTTACTACATTAGAAGAAATACAAAACGTGTCAGGAAATTTTCAGCTTCTGGTTACACCAGTTAAAAAGTTATATCAGAAATGTAGAGTTATCATATAATGTTTTGTTTGTTTCAGAACTGGGTTTGTAACTTTGAGAAGCCTAAGACTGAGCCAAATACACTAGAACCCAGCACCACTGTCCTTAGTCCATACCTGAAGTTTGGATGTTTGTCTCCAAGAACATTCTATTACCGTATTAATGAAGTCTACAATGGAAAGGTTATATCCTATTTTATTATACCTCACATAAACTTTTTACTACATTGCATAATGTGACAACACATGGTGTTATTTCCTTCTGTTATCCAAGAAATAAATATCACATGGTCGATAAATTTTTTGCAATATTCCCCAAGGGTGAGTAACCCATAAAGACTTAAGAAAACATAATGTTCTAGTTCTCTCCCCTGATAAAAAAAACCCAATGACAAATGGCTCTTGGAGTAATAATGCATAGTGGCAAAAAATTACATTAAAATGTTGGTTTGGTAAAAAAAAAAGAAAAAATAACACATGTATCTCAGGGTAATAGTGCATATTAGCAACTATTGAATTGAAATAACAGCCAAGTAGGATTTTGTTCTCAGGCTGCTAGTATGCACTTTTACCTGAGAGTCGTTTGTTATTTTTGTACTACAGCAAGTCTGCATAGAAATGAACTTTAATTCAGACAAAAATCTAAAATATCAAATTATCTCATGTTAACATATAGAAGATTGATTAACTCAGGTGTAACAATTTCTTAATGTACATGTGTTTAGAAAAATACATATGCTCCTATTTGAACAATGGAAACAAGCAAATCGTTAAATAAAGGTGAAATTTTAAATTAATTAACAGAATGTTTTATTGTGCTCATATGTGTTATATTATTAAACCAAGTTTTACTGTATTTATATTGTAGAAACACAGTCAACCACCTGTTTCACTACTGGGTCAGTTAATATGGAGAGAGTTTTACTATACTGTAGCTGCAGGAACCCCAAACTTTGATAAGATGGTAGGCAACTCTGTATGTACACAAGTAGACTGGGACACCAATGATGAGTTCCTTGAAGCTTGGAAAATGGTAGGTAAAATAGTTAACTGTGGTTAATCTATATATATAGACAAACTGAGTCATCCCAGACTTAACTTGCTACACCTCGTTGGAGTAAACTTTATATTGATAAATCTAGAGAATGGACAGTCTTAACTTTTTTATATCACAGAAGAGTAATTTTTGACATCAGATATCAAAGCTTAAAATTTCAATTTCAAGCAAGCTGTAACATAGAATTTGAATATAATGAAATCAATTTTCAAAATGAGATTTAGTCTTGTATTGAATGCTCAAAGCCCTAACTTCATGAGACTGCAATATGCCTTTGATTAGTTTGTTAGACCAGAATTCTTTAGCATTTGAAGAACTTTAATATTTTATAATCCTATATTTGTACATTTCTGGATGAAACCCTAGTCCTAGTTATTATTTCATTTGTAATGGGAGAGAAATTTAATATACTTTTATCTTAAAACCATGTCATATATGAGTGGGGTTCTCATTTCCACACTGTCTTCTGATTAGAGCACTGCTTGAATGCCTTTAAAAGTCTACAGCATCACTTAAACTCCACAAAAGTGCACTAAAGTTACAGTGTGAAGGTTGTGGTTATTCTATGGTACTTAAATGGAGATTGTACAGCATTCTTTAAAATGTCACTGCATCTCTATCTTGCTTAAATTGTCTTCAAAGTGCAGTGTGAGCAAAATTAAAGCACAATGTGAACACTCTGAGTGCAGATAATCACCAACTTGAACTCTGTAGGAAACTGTGTGACAAAATGCACAATTGCCTTCTTGAAAACCAGATTTTCTTGCTATCTCTTGGCACACTATAGTGTAACAAGGACCTTACCTTGTTGAAATTGGTATTGACAATCACATGCTACACCAGTGAGCTGTCTCTCTTAAGTTTACCAGACCAGGTGCTGATTTAAGTTTCCTGTCTCATGTACATTGTATACATGTATATTCTAGGGTCGTACAGGTTATACTAGTGAACTGTCTCTTCTAAGCTTACCAGACCAGGTGACGGATTATGTTTTCTTTCTCATGTATACCTGTATTTTCTAGGGTCGCACAGGTTATCCTTTCATAGATGCAGTAATGACACAACTACGAGAGGAAGGTTGGATCCATCACCTTGGTCGCCATGCTGTGGCCTGTTTCCTAACCCGAGGTGACCTTTGGATCAGCTGGGAAGAAGGCATGAATGTGTTTGAAGAATATTTGCTAGGTTTGTATAATATAATAAAGTATTAACAGTTACGTTTTTGTGAACATCAGTATTAACATCAGTATTAACAAATGTGTGACTTTTAAACTAAATATTATTTTTCAAAGTAATGCCCCTTTTGACAATTTTTTTTTTGCCCAAGTTAACCTTTTTGTTAAAACTAATAACTCAAAAACTATAACAATATCCACTTTAAATGTATAATACATGTTCACTATTAAAATTGTAGAGCAGATAATTATTAACCTTCAAGATCATTTTTGCTGAATTATATCACTACACTGTAGTATTTTTATAATTTATAATTTTGTCAAAAGTTCACTTTGAAATACATGTACTATAAAGGGCAGATGATTATAATAAGCAGTTTTTTTCCAGCATTATGCCCCGTTTAAACTTTGCTTTTATCATGCTATCATATACTGAGAAAAGACAGCATGCTTCTACTTTAAATCAAGCTTGTACAAAGGGAAGTAACAATTGTGATCAACACTTTGGAATATAACAAAACACTTTAATAGTGATAATTAGAATTGTTGTCTTAAAAGTGAAGAATTTCAAAAATAGTTAAATATGTGGGTGGAAATACATAAGATAGTATGTATGATACTTTTTAAGGTTTGAAGGTAAAAGGTAAGAATCTAATTATTGACAGGTTATTGGTGAATAGATTATTTTTTTCTCTTCATGTATTTGTAAGTGTAAAAATGACCAGTTGTATAGTAGATCCAGACAAGAGTAAGCCTGCATTTTATTACTGTCCTAGCTATATGATATATTATACTGAATCCTTAAAATGCCACTATTAATCTATATGAAATAAACTTTTCTATATCATTATGTGATTTAACTTTGTTGGATTGGTATTCCTTACCTAACTTTTTGTGGAGTTTTGGTCACCTAAGCACTATAGAGGAAAGTATGAGTGGTCATTTAATAAGAACAATCATTCTTCCATGAGCTAGCTGGAAAGACATTTACAGTGCACTTATACTACTCTTATAATGGATATTAGAATTAATTGACACACAAAATATTATCTGACCTTGCTCTGTACTAGTGGTGTAGATAAGTTCTAGTGGTGTTCAATTTTTTGTTTCATTTACAGATGCAGATTGGAGTTTAAATGCTGGTAATTGGATGTGGCTGTCAGCAAGCGCTTTCTTTCACCAATATTTCAGGGTATATAGCCCAGTAGCATTTGGTAAAAAAACAGACAAGAATGGTGATTATATCAGGTAAGATACAATCAGCATTAGACATACATGAGAAAAGAATGCTCATAAGGAATCAAATTAAACTGTGGTATTGGTCTTGAGCAAACATCTTTAGTCTATTCAATTTTGTAACAAAATATGACAAAATACATATTTAATTATTTATGGAATGTCCTTTTTGCAGATCTTTTTTTCCATATTCAAGATTTCACAAACTTAGCGTGTGTGCAATAAAAACCATGGCAATCTAAAACGTTTTCATTTTTTGAAGTCTGATTTTGAAATAATGTCCTATAATTTTTAACCAGAACAAGATATTTTATACCATTTAAGGCCAGGTTAGTATATCCAAAGTTAAGGTCACATTTAGAATTTGCAGATAAAACATGAGGACCATCTTTTGTCACCATTTTCCTAATTAAATCTTATATAATTTTATTCTATAATTTGCAGGAAGTACATTCCAAAACTTGCCAAGTTTCCAGAAAAATTTATTTATGAGCCATGGACAGCCCCAAAAGCTGTCCAGGAAAAGTGTGGATGTATCATTGGTAAAGATTACCCTAAACCTATAGTTGATCATGACGTAGCTAGGAAGAATAATATAGCAAGGATGGCTGAAGCATATGCTAGAAGAAAGGAAGGGAAAGATTCCAATGGTACTTTATTTAACCCTTACCACCCTAAATATCTGAAATGGACATGTCCATTTATTCTATCTGGACAAATCCATTCATCATTTTTAGGGGAAATTTAAAGTTATACTCAAAGCATAGCAAAAAGTGCAAACCATAATTAGAATGCATGGACGAGTCAGCTCATCTTGGGATGCACTGGTAACATAGGTAGAATTTGTTGACGCTAGCAGGCTAAAGGTTATTTTCTTAAGCTTCATATAAAGAAATTTTATAGCTTATTATAGTCACTGTAGTCTCTCTTTTCCTGGAACTTACCAGAACTTGTGTCTTATAAGGAAACAAGGTGTTGATGAATAGGAGGATTTGAACTGATAATTCCAAGGTTTATAGGAAACCTTAACCACTGGGTCACCTCGCTTGTGAAGGGTGCTTCTTCAATATATTACCTATTATTTATTATCTTTGATTTTAGTCAATTTGTGTAAACTAGAAGAAAAGATTCTTGGTAGTATCTGGTCTAAATTTCTAAATTATTTGGACTGTCAAGTGCTAGTGTTTAGAATGAAGGTTTACATAAAGATTTAGACAACCATACAAGACTGCACTACTAGCTGCACTAGTTGTAGTCCTGATTGTTAAACCTTTGAAATCTACAATATAAATGGCTTTAAATTCATTCTTGCATATCAGACAGGAAAATCTACTTTTTACACTGGTGCTGAAAACGATATATCACACCCAAAATCCATGTGAGGCAAGTCACATGCTTTAAATAACAACATTACCAGGCTCATTGTATGAAAGAGTTGTAGTCTTCAGAATGAAATAAATGAAGGTGTAAATCTATGCAAAAGTGAGTTATTATGTAATATGCAAGAAAATCAAACACCAGCAGTTGACACAGAAAGGAATTTCTAGTTCTTGGGGTTATCTCAGTTTTGTTGAAGGCCATTGAAACATTAACCACTATCAAACACAATAATACTGCTTTGAATCTTGAACTGTTCATTATTTATGTAAGAGGTTTTATATATAAAATTAAGTAAATTGTTTTTGTTTATGCTGGCATAATGCAGAAACATCGTAACTTTTATTGAAGTTCAGTATATTCAGATTTCATGACAAACATGCAGGCTGACCTGGCATCATACTAGTGTCATTATTGTTTACTTGCATTCATATTGGTCATGTTTTATTGAGGTCAATCATCACTGTTGCATGTTATCTACTTTTCTTGTTTGTTGTCATTTCAGGTACCTCCTCGCCGATGAAGAGAAAATCAGAAAATGATTCATCAGGAAAACCAAAGAAAAAAGCTAAAAATACAGAGATAACAGACTTTCTTAAGAAAAAGTAGAACATGTAATATAAACAGTCCAGCAACTGAAAAACCCTACACATTGTGAAATATCAGACAGCAGTTTTCAGGGAGACTTAAACTGCATATTTCTTTATGGACATTGAGTGTAAAGAGAATGTTTATAGGGGAATAAAACTCTCAGCTAATGAAGGAGACAAAGGTTAATCTGACAGATCATATAGATGATCTTATATAAGTAAATAGAGACTTGTTTGAAAGATACAGAAATATATAAATGTTCAGAATTCTCAGATTCTAACATTGTGAAGCATTGTACATACTGGTACATTAGAAAGTTTCTTTAATAAAGGACAGTAATTGCATTGTTGTAACATACGATATATAGTTTTCAAAAGAGCCGCGTCATGACAAAACCAACATAATGGGTTTGCGACCAGCATGTATCCAGACCAGCCTGCGCATCCGTTCAGTCCGATCAGGATCCATGCTGTTCACTATCAGTTTCTCTACTTGTTAAAGAGTTTGTAAGGGAACAGCATGGATCCTGATTAGACTGCGCAGATGCGCAGGCTGGTCTGGATCCATGCTGCTCGCAAACGCACTATGTTGGTTTTGTCATGGCGCGGCTCAAATGTGTTTTGCACAAGTTTGCTTTGTAAAATGGCTCATATGGTTCAGTGATACCTATCATTGTAAATATACATTTGTATGTCATGCATATATGGGGTGACAAATTGTTAATTGATTTGTTGTAATACCTGTTCTGACCTTGATGACACAATATACCAGAGAGTAAATAGGGTTATTCACCTTGCAGTATATTTTCATTTGAACAACATCTGATCTGCTACTACTAAATCAATTCTAATGAAACTTTCATGTCCTTGGCATAAATTGTTTTTAGATTATCATATTTGTACTTAAAGTCTTGTCTGAAACCTAGATTTAAATAGTGATAAGATTCTATTTACTTTCATCACGGGTTGTTTTGTTACTTTTTATGTTTATTTTTACCATGCTCTGTTTGTTTGTTTCATTTATGTATCTTGATTGCAAACTTAATTTTATATAGACTTACATGCTCATGATAGAAAAATCAATGTGTCTCGGGTGAATATTATATTTTATTAAAGCAGCATGCTTCCAGATTGATGCTAAAGTCCTTTAAAAAAATGAAAATGTATTAAAAAGTAAAATATTTTCAAGTGAACAAAAGGAGTAATTTACTCCTTGCAAAAGACACCTTTTTTCATCCATGTTAATTAGCAAATAAAGATAAACATATGCAAAATTAGCACTGTGTTAGTAAATTATGAATATGGTAATAAATACTGCAAAGGTAGTCATTCATTGCATATAACATATTTATCATTACTTGATAAGTGAATATTTTACTCTTCTTAAAATCTTAAAAATACATTTTTCTCAAAGTTGATTCTCTTGGGAAAAAAATTGGTGCATCATGAGGCAGCTTTTAAGATATATTATGCTCAAATTTGATATTTGAAAATACTGATAATTGCTATAAAGTCTCTCTTAAACATCTTTTGAGTAAACAAAACCTGTTTGGGGAGCATCACCCGGTTCAACTGGCTCTTGTTTTAGAAAGAACCAATTAATTTGACCTGTAATTGGGAATACAGCTTCCCAAACATAGTATGTACATTCTTTTCTTCAAGTAAGGATATCCTCAATTTCAGTAAATGCCTGCAATTAAAGTATTTTGCCCAAATATGAGCATAGTATATTTTCAAGTCATAGTACGGATGTGATCTCATTTATAGTCCTAAGTCTTACATTATACCAAAAAAAGATCTCAGGAATAAATTTTGACATTGAACTTACTTTATATTGTTTGTAGATGTAACTAAAAGTAAAAAAAGATATACTTAAAACAAGAACATGTTTGTTTTGTGTACTATATGATCACCTCCCTCCACCCCTCCCCTTTTCATTTAAGCTAGAACCTTCATACTTGGTCACAACACACATCCCTGGGTAACATTCACATTTAGCCTATTAATTATGTCCCCCTTCAAAGAAGAGGGGTATTGCTTTTGCATTTGTGTGTCGGTAGGTCCATAGACCAAATGGTTTCCGATCAATAACTAAAGAACACTTAGGCCTAGGAACTTCAAACTTGGTATGATGATTGTTAATGACAATGGACCTTTCCGGTTTTTCGTAGCGGAACATTTAGCCACACCTTTTCCATTCATTGCTAGGTCAACTGCTCACAAACAGTATCACAAACATAAGCACGTGTTCTTTTGTGCAAACCAGATCAACCAGTGACTATGTAATATCTCAGTGTAGCAATTGGATAACAAGTTTGCCAATTTACATTAAACTGTAAAACCGGAACGGTCCATTAAATGACCCTATTGATTTTGGGGTCAAAGGTCGAGGTCACATTTGCCTTGTAGGTAAAAACGGTTTCTGATTAATAACTAAAGAATGCTTAGACATAGGAACTTCAAACTTAGTATGATGATTGTGCAAGACGGATAGATGACCCCTATTGATTTTTGGTTCAAAGGTCAAGGTCACATTGACCTTGTAGGAAATAATGGTTTCCGGTCAATAATTTAAGAATGCTTAGGCCTTGGAACTTCAAACTTGGTATGATGATTGCTTATGACCAGTAGATGACCCCTATTGATTTTGGGGTCAAAGGTCAAGGTTACATTTATCTTGTAGGTAAAAATGGTTTCAGATCAATAACTGAAGAAAGCCTAAGCCTAGAACTTCAAACTTGGAATGATGATTGTTCAGGATCAGGAGATGACCCTTATTGATTTTGAGGTCAAGAAGTCATAGGTCAATGTCACACTGACCTTGTAGGTAAAAACGGTTTCAGATCAATAACTACAGAAAGCTTAGGCCTAGGAACTTCAAACTTGGTATGATGATTGCTCATGACCATAAGATGACCCCTATTGATTTTGGGTCAAGAGGTCAAAGGTCAAGGTCACACTGACCTTGAAGGTAAAAATGGTTTCTGATCAATTTCCTGACAACATATGGACTGTTGGCCCTCGAACTTCGAAGGTGCATTTGACTTGGCCAGTAGATAACTTCTATTGATTTTGGGGTCAAAGGTCACGTTTACATTGTAGGTAAAAACGGTTTCAGATCAATAACTAAAGAAAGCATAGGCCTAGAACTTCAAACTTGGAATGATGATTGTTCAGGATCAGTAGATGACCCTTATTGATTTTGAGGTCAAGGGGTCATAGGTCAATGTATTATTGTAGGTAAAAACGGTTTCAGATCATTAACTACAGAAAGCTTAGGCCAAGGAACTTTAAAATTGGTATGGTGTTGCTCATGACCATAAGATGACCATTATTGCTTTTGGGTCAAGAGGTCAAAGGTCAAGGTCACGCTGACCTTGAAGGTAAAAATGTGATCGATCAATTACCTGACAACCCATGGACTGTTGGCCCTGAAAATTCGTAGGTGCATTTGACTTGGCAAGTAGATAACTTCTATTGATTTTGGGGTCAAAGGTCAAGGTCACATTGATCTTGTAGGTAAAAACGGTTTCCGATCAATAACATGATAAGCCTTGGGCTGTTGACCCTCAAACTGTGTAGGTGCATTGGTCTTGGCAAGCTGATGACCCCCATTGACTTTGGGGTCAAGTAGTCAAAAGTGCAGGTCACATTGAGCTTGTATGTCAAAACTATTTGCTATCAATAACCGAACAACCCATGGACCATTGAGCTTCAAACTTCACAGATGCATTGCTTTTGGTCAGAAGATGACCTCAATGGATTTTTGGTATCAAGGGGTCAGAAGTTAAGATCACATTGACCTAACAGTTAAAAACGCTTTCTTATCAATATTTCAACAACTCATGGCCCTTTACCTTCAAACTTCACAGGTGCATTGGTCTTGGCCAGTAGATAACCCCTATTGATTTAAGGATCAAAGGTTAAGGTCATATTAACCTTGTACGCAAATACGTTTTCTGACCAATAACTCAACAGCTCAAGTTGCCTTGGTTGATATATATTTTATTAAACTAAAAATGCTTTTGGTATACACATTTTAAGGTCTTATGTGATATAACAAGTTGACTGTCATTTAGGATGCCTACATGATGCATATATTATTTGGTAAGGTTTGTGAAAACTTTGTCAATTGCTGCACACAACCTTTACGGTCACAATTACCTAGTGACTAGTCATGACCAGTAGAGAACCCCTATTGATTTTTTGGTCGTCAGTCATAATAACATGACCACATGACTAATTAGCCGCCGATAGGGGCATACATGTTTTACAAACATATCTTGTTACTTTTAGCATCAATGTAAATTTTCAGCATGCAGGAAATTTTCCATTTTTATAATCTTGTTTTTTTTTTTATTTCTTCGAAAGGAAACCGATATATTTATTGTTATTGTCATGTCGGCGTTCCTGTTGCCTCGCATAGTGATGTTGCTGTTGTCGTCTGCAAACTTTGATATTGATCATAACCTTTTAACAAGGTTTTCAACGAAAACCATTTATTGTAATACTGAAGTTGGCGGATGGGCTTCAACTTTTGGTTCTGCTAAATAAATTGAGTTTGCTTTTTACCTATTGACGTCAAACTTGATGTGTGGATAGCTTATATCAAGAGGCAGCTTGGGATTGCTAACCCATTTGTCTGTGATCAAGGTCAAGATCACTGCTACTAAAATAGAAATGCAGTTTCAAGTCAATAACTTGAGCTTGCTTGACCTATTGACACAAAATTTGGTGTATGCTTGGTGTCTTTTAAAGATTTGTTTAAACCTATTACATTTGTATTTGTTTGCGTTTAGAAAAGGAAACAAGTCGAGCGTTGCCCCGCCCGATGTTGGCTCTTGATTTTGTTCTAGATTTAGTTTACCTTAATGCATGAGGATAAGCAAGAAAAACACATAATCTGCAACATAAAAATATTCATATTTTACTAAAAAAGGAAACAGTAATTGTTGAACGTGCTATATTCGAAATATATGACGACATAATGTTTCACTTACACGCCTGGTAAACGATAAATCGCTCTATCGCTACTTTCGAGCTAGTGCATGTCGCTATTTAAAATCAGGTGTAAAGGGTTGTCATTTTTTATATATTTTGAAAACTCTATACCAAATATCGAAATTCGAAGATTGCTATGATCAAAGTTTCCAAGAAACGTATAGTTGATTAATTTGTGTTTGAAATGAAGTTGAGGCGATGTTTCCCAGTTAGCGAATATAGCGTTTTATCATGAAGCAGATTAATCCCCTCCCCCCCCCCCCCCCAATCTGTCTAAACAGCAATTCAGATTAAAAACAAAAGCGTTTCAAGTAGATAAAAGATCTAGAAATTAGATGAAATTGAAATCGGAAAAAAAGAGAAAATAAAGGAAATTTATTCTGTGATACAGCTCTGTCGTGAGAAGGCAGTAATATCGTCAAGGAGATATAGTTCTATGGTAATGTACAAAGTATCTATCTGTGTATATTTTATTCATTTATCAAAGCACGCAAATTTAATAAAAACAATATAATACTAATCTAATTACTATACATTTTACTTGTTCTGATTTCAATCTTATATGATTTCTGGACCTATTATCTACTTGAAACGTTTTGTTTTTAATCTGAATCACTGTCTAGATAAAAAATTGGAGGGAAAATCATCTGCTTCATGATAAAACGATTTATTTCAAGTAAGAAACGCCGCCACAACTACATTTCAAACACAATTATAACAAATTTACGTTTTCTGGAAATGTTAATAAAATCTACATGACACAGCTTTCTACGAATTTCGATATTTGGTGTAGAGTTTTCAAAATATATAAAAAATTACAACACTTTACACTTGATTTTAGCGACATGCACTAGCTCGGAAGTAGCATAGAGCGATTTACAGTATATCTACAGGCGTGACTTAAATTAATGTCTGTATTTTTGTTCAGAAAGATAATAAACTTACGCCAAGGAAACATTAACTGCATGGTGCTATATTGTTAATATTTTAAATTTCATATGAGTTCATATCATAATTATGTTCCTGCATAACCCCCCTACATAAATCATCTTGTTATATATGAAATGATATTACACAGATCTGAATTAATTATCAGAAGACGCACCTATAAGATAACTCGTCTGTATCTTTCAAATTATTTTGATATTAAACATCAACATTAGCTTAAGAGGATGGGATAATAATGATAAATAGTAATTCAAGTTTATACACATTTCACTTATTTTGTTGTCCGCGTGATAACTTATCATTTTACTTCTAATTTCTATGTATAATAGTTATAGGTGAACTTTAACTAAATATAGTTCAACAATAGTAAAAATGACACGGAATATAGTAACATGTTACATTGGCTTATTATTTCTTATAATTGCATGTGCTAAAGGTAAAATGATTTTTCTAGCTTTGTGTAAATAAATTTCATCAGTAAATGTAATAAGATACACGCTTCGATTTTATCAGACGATTTCTTTGATTTTACCTAAAGTATTGAACGTAATAATTTGACGTTATTTCACTTGAGACGCGTGCTTCTCAGTTAATAAAAATGTACAAATTGGTAAAAAAATTGGCAAGTATTTGTTATTATCAGAATATATGCTCATCAAACCAAAACAGTATTTTATTTTCATTGATTATTTTTTATTGATCGGAATATACTAAGACTTTCTCTGTAAATTAATGACTATTTCTTATTCAAGATTTAAATCTAATTCAATACAAGTCAATATCTACTATTTAATCACCGAAAATTTGTAAAACTAGCATGAAACTTTGACAATTATAAAACATAATGCACTAAAAAAGCGTCGGATTTAAAATGGTTAAACAAAAACGCGAAGATCCAACAAAGTCAAACTTTATCGTGTTCTATCATATTGTTGCATTTATTGTTGCATTTTCCAATGCTTTTATAAATTTTATGAAATGATTATTCCATTTTGTAATGGTCATTTGCATAATCTGGTGATGATTTTTTCTTTGTTTGGAATTACAAATTTTACAAACTTTTGACACCACATGAACATTACAAAGGTTTATAACAAGTGTTAGATGTTTAAATTCGTACATTTAATTACAGCACGCATTGAAAATATGTTTTCATTTTAAGGCATTTATCCGGTGGCACAAAGGTGACATGTGTGTGTTTTTATTTATCTCGTGCGCACGAGATACTATGTCGTGGTCACGATTTACTTAGTCGTGGCCACGAGATAGCTAAGTCGTGACCACGAGATAGCTAAGTCGTGGCCAAGAGAAACTATGTCGTGGCCACGAGTTCCTTAGTCGTGGCCACGAGATAGCTAAGTCGTTGCCAAAAGATACTATGTCGTGGCCACTAGTTACTAAGTCGTTGCTACGAGATAGCTAAGTCGTTGCCACGAGATACTATGTCGTGGCCACGAGTTATTAAGTCGTGGCCACGAGATAGCTTAGTCGTGGCCACGAGATAGCTTAGTCGTGGCCACGAGATACTATGTCGTGGCCACGAGATAAATAACCAATCAGATTACACCATTTATATGAATTTCCCTAATTCACTAGACATTTCTTACAGTACAAGGATGCCCCTACTAGACCAGCCTATAAAAGTGCCATTTATGCAACTTATTGCCTGGTCAATAATTTTACATTAAGCGTCACTGTGACCCTGATTTTTGACCCAATGGCCTCGAAATATTGAATGTCATCTACTAATCAGGTGCAATGATCTTTCTGTGTTTTAAAAACCATGGCTTATCCCTCTAAATTATTCATCAGACAAGGATTTTACATGAAGTGTCATGGTTACCTTAAATCAAACATCCGTATAGGCTATCTACTGTCAATGGGCAATGTCTCTTCCAAATAAAATAAACCAGGACTTATTCCTTCTCATGTTATCGTATAGTACGTACAAACCGACAAATTGGATCACAAAATTAGTCAAAATTATTGTCTGATTGGCCTTGGAAGGTGACATTCTAATATGATCCTAAAGACAAGTTCAAAGTGAATATTTTCAGTATTTTCAAAGATTAATGTTGCATGTAAAAGTAAGTTGTTAAGTTTAAAAAAATCATAATATATATAGTGTATTCTGATTGGTTAATTATCTCGTGCGCACGACTTAGTTATCTCGTTCCCACGACTTAGTAACTCGTGGCCACGACATAGTATCTCGTGCCACGACTTAATTATCTCGTGGCCACGACTTAGTAACTCGTGGCCACGACATAGTATCTCGTGGCCACGACTTAGCTATCTCGTGGCCACGACTTAGTAACTCGTGGCCACGACATAGTATCTCGTGGCCACGACTTAGCTATCTCGTGGCCACGACTTAGTAACTCGTGGCCACGACATAGTATCTCGTGCGCACGAGATAAGTAAAAACATACACATGTCACCTTTGTGCCACCGTAATTTTACACATTCTATGTCGAAACCTTTAAGCACTTGTCATCTGTCTAAGTTGGTTGTCCGTCAATATCACCTGTTAGAGCTGCTGATGAGGAAATTGGGATGTTTCTTGAAAAAAAGACGTATTGCATGATAGATGGATACCCCCCTTTAAAGCTCAATATGCTACCACTGACCCAAACATTGATTCAATACATTTAAAGGCGTTCCTACTATATTTTAATAGTTGGCTGTAAGTAGGCCTAAAGTACGGTAAGAAAAATTGTAGTCAAAAACATTTCAAGTGTTTTTTCTTAGTCTTAACTCAATTATACGAGCATTTCTTCGTCGGTTTAGATTTCAGCTGACAGACACATTACCGTTCATATAGAACATATAACCTTTTTTTGCAAATCTTCTTCGCTTCCAACAAAAGTGATCCGATGTTTCTGTTAACAGAATTCGTGATCACGTGTCTTTTTAGCTCACCTGAGCATATGCTCAGGGTGAGCTATTAGGATCACTCTTCGTCCGTCGTCTGTCGTCCGGTGTCCGTCGTCCGTCGTACGTCGTCCGTTCACACTTTTCAAACGACATCTCCTCTGAAACCATAAGGCAGATCATAATGAAACTTCACAGGGATGTTCCTTGTGTGAAGCCTTAACAAAGTTGTTCAAAGAATTCCATTCCATGCAGAACTCTGGTTGCCATGGCAACCAAAAGAAAAAACTTTAAACATCTTCTTCTAGAAAACCCACAGAGCTAGAGCTTAGATATTTGGCATGAAACATCTTCTAGTGAGTGTCTACCAAGATTGTTCAAATAAAAGCCCTGGGGTCAAAATTGGCACCGCCCCAGGGGGTCATTGATTTTCCCTATATGCATATAGTAAAAACTTAAAAAAATCTTCTTTTAAAGAACCCAAAAAGCTAGACCTAAGATATTAAGCATGAAACATCTTCTAATAAGTGTCTACCAAGATTGTTCAAATAAAAGCCCTGGGGTCAAAATTGGCCCCGCCCCAGGGGGTCATTGATTTTTCCTATATGCATATAGTAAAAACTTAAAAAAATCTTCTTTTAAAGAACCCAAAGAGCTAGACCTAAGATATTAAGCATGGAACATCTTCTAATAAGTGTCTACCAAGATTGTTCAAATAAAAGCCCTGGGGTCAAAATTGGCCCCGCCCCAGGGGGTCATTGATTTTCCTTATATGCATATAGTCAAAAATGAAAAAAAATCTTCTTCTAAAAAACCAAAAGAGCAGGAGCTTAGATATTTGGCATGAAACATGTTCTAATGGATGTCTACCAAGTTTGTTCAAATAAAAGCCCTGGGGTCAAAATTGGCCCCGCCCCAGGGGGTCTTTGATTTTCCCTATATGCATATAGTAAAAACTTAAAAATATCTTCTATTAAAGAACCCAAAGAGCTAGACCTAAGATATTAAGCATGAAACATCTTCTAATGAGTGTCTACCAAGATTGTTCAAATAAAAGCCTTGGGGTCAAAATTGGCCCCGCCCCCAGGGGGTTATTGATTTTCCCTATATGCATATAGTAAAAACTTTAAAAAATCTTCTTCTAAAAAATCGAAAGAGCTAGAGCTTAGATATTTGGCGTAAAACATGTTCTAATGGATGTCTACCAAGTTTGTTCAAATAAAAGCCCTGGGGACAAAATTGGCCCAGCCCAAGGGGGTCATTGATTTTACCTATATGCATATAGTAAAAACTTAAAAAAATCTTCTCTTAAAGAACCCAAAGAGCTAGAGTTAAGATATTAAGCATGAAACATATTCTAATCAGTGTCTACCAAGTTTGTTCAAATAAAAGCCCTGGGGTCAAAATTGGCCCCGCCCCAGGGGGTCATTGATTTTCCCTATATGCATATAGTAAAAACTTAAAAAAAATTCTTTTAAAGAACCCAAAGAGCTAGAGCTAAGATATTTAGCATGAAACATGTTCTAATTTGTGTCTACCAAATTTGTTCAAATAAAAGCCCTGGGGTCAAAATTGGCCCCGTCCCAGGGGTCATTGATTTTCCCTATATACATAGAGTAAAAAGTTAAAAATCTTCTTTTAAAGAACCCAAAGAGCTAGAGCTAAGATATTTAGCATGAAACATGTTCTAATGGATGTTTACCAAGTTTGTTCAAATAAAAGCCCTTGGGTCAAAATTGGCCCCGCCCTCGGGGTCATTGATTTTCCCTATATTGCATATAGTAATTAAATACTTAAAAATCTTCTTTTAAAGAACCCAAAGACCTAGAGCTATGATATTTAGCATGAAACATGTTCTAATGGGTGTCTACCAAGTTTGTTCAAATAAAAGCCCTTCGGTTAAAATTGGCCCTGCCAGGGGGAGGGGGGGGGGCAAAAGTCATCGTTATTCATTATTTGTGTATAGTAAAAACTTAACATCATGAAATATCTTCTAATGGGTGTCTTCCAAGTTTGTTCAAATAAAAGCCCTTTGGTTTAAACTGGCCCGGCCCTGGGGGCCTATGTTCAGGTGAGCGACCCCAGGGCCATCATGGCCCTCTTGTTTATAATACATTTTGTCACCGCTAATGGTCGCTTTGATAGCTTTAAAGGTGCTTGCCATTGTTCATATCTTTCAGTGTTTGAATAGTAAACATATTCCATGTTCCAATCCAAATATATACTTGGCTAATTCAAAAAGTACGTATTTTATACTTTTCCCGGTTTGCTTGCAATAATTGCAACACAATGTAACCGCATATTTTCATCAAATATATTGGCGCATACAAAACATTTCTGCAAGTTTAACAAGGACAGAAAAAGAACTTCAATAGAAAGTTACATGTTAACAAATATCACGTGATCACCCATCCTGTGTTTTACCGGTGCTCAATCATGTCACAGAGAGGCTGTCCAATTTGGTGAGCTGTACGGATTTTTATATTGGCTTCGTATTTACACACACACACGCACGCACAAAAACACACACATAATTATAAGTAATATACCTTTGTGCTTTCATTGATTTATTAAAAAAGTCAGGGGTTACATTTCAATGTTTATACAAAACTATACATGTATTACAAGCTGTACACGAGTTGTACCTACCATAACGTAAATTGTATGGAGTACCAAATCTTACAGCTGTATAAATAATATTCATAATACACCTTTCGTTGAACAAACGAAAGTTATGGGTAATCACTGGCACAGAACACTTTGTCTTAGAGAAAGTATAATGATTAAGAAAATATTCAACAAGGCTTTAAATATAAAGAGTGGAGAAATTGTAAACATTGGTGCTACATTATTGAGAACACTTTGCTGTCATTCTGACTTAACATCTGTCACAGTATTCACTTTCCATTTAGTCGCAAAAGAATGGTTGATGATTTAACTGGTAGAGCTTTGGTGAATATTCATATTAATCATTAAACTGCGGATGTGTCCATGGAAGCCATTACTAACGATTCCGGGAGAAATAAAATGTGTATTCTTATAGACATTTCAAGATCGAAATACTGTTGTTTAACGCTTCCTATTTCTGATCACACTTCTATACAGTGCCCCCACCCCTTTACTTTGCTATGTAGGCAAACAAGTCAATGTGAGGAGTATGGTTAGTAACAGGTCTGGTCAGCTTTGGCAGAGTTCCTGTGTGGAGCCTCACCTATCTGTCTTGAAACTGGTCGATATGAATATTTACCAGAGCATGAAAGAATATGTCCACTTTGTCTAGATGGTATTAAAACCGAATAACATGTGCTACATAAGACACAATACGAAACCATTGTTAGATTATGCTCATAAAACGGTTGATTCGTTTACTACAAAAAATGTAAAAAGATGGCAAGTTTATATACCTATTTGAATATCAGGATAACCATATGATAAGATTTCTTATGATAACCTAGCTACTGTGACATTCTTCAACAGAGAAATAATATGTTCTTTAGTAAGAATACTAAATAAGTTGTAACACATCACAACTACTATACACATAAGTACAACTTCTTATAAGTTTATATGGTTTTAAGAAGTATAAATTCTAAGTTGCTATCAAGAGAACTGGTATAAGACGTTAGGTTTTATCACTGGGACTTATTTATTGAAAAAGTATAACATTTTAGCTGTACCTCTTTGTTTTAACCCAATATTCTTTTAAAAGTTTCGTTAGTAATGTATTATTATAGTTATTATCAATTTTGTATATTCTTATCTCATCATGTAACTGATTTTAAAAAATGAAAAGTATATTTGCTTATCTTTAATAATTCTTATATAGAATGGCTGTGTTTACAAAGATTAGACATAAATAAACAAATTAATAGAAGAAGAATCTTTATTTTGCAAATTAACTCTAAAAAGAGTCATGTACAAGCATTTATGATATATACAATTACATGTATGCATAAGTAAATAACTAATTACATAGCAATATGACGTGACTGCAAGTATTTGTTTCTTTCATTATTAATGGTTACCATTGATTATATATTTAATTTACAAGTTATTTACTTTTTGAGAGATTCTACATTCAAATATATAATATTAAGAAATCGTGTATGTATTACACTTGTAATCTCGGAAGAGACATTGTTAACATCTATAACATAGTATACTTTAAAACATGAATGAAAATTCTCTTCAATACACAGATCTTTGTAGTGCATTTACAAATATAAGCTATATGGTTTTGATTTATTGCAATAGTAATATAGCACAAAATATTGAAAATATACTAAAAAAACAAATGTTACTTATAAACTATACTTTTGAACGCATATAATGCTTCAATCTTGATACAAGTAATATAAAATAAATAAACATTAGTCATAACTGAAGCTTAAGTGCTCGAATGTATTCATGATTAATGACACAAACAAACACTAACTTTATTTCAATATTTTTTATATATACGGAATATATTATGTTGTAGTAGCTTTCTGAGGCCATATTTTTTATCTACGAGCAGCGGTGGAAAATTAATAGCTCGCAAGACCGAAGGTCGAGTGAGATATCAATTTTCCAACGTTGCAAGTAGAAAATTATATCTTCTTAAAAAGCTACAACAACATAATTTTCCTTTTATTATATACCTTATCGTTTTATTCAGAAAATTAAATGTAATTGTCAAGAAATAAATTCATGACTTACGGACGAATACGTAATTCTTGCAAAACCGGCCACGCCTTTAATAATTTTGGTTCCCGTTTCCAAATGTCACTTCCATATATGGTACCGTATTTGTCACTAACATAATACGAAATTTCTATCCGTTGAAGCGTATTTGCGCTTCAAGATTTGCGTGTATTTTAAGGAGAAAATTTATAGGTATATAATAATGTCTGATATTTAGTCGCCAATTATCACATGAATATTATGTACGATTGGGCACTGCCGTCAAATTTATCGGAAGTCAAGAAGAAAAACCTCTCCATTACACGGATTAACTGTTCGGCAAATACCGGGGAACAGATGGCGAAAAGGAAAATGCTATGACAGAAATATTTAGGGACCCCTGATATCTATTTTTTAGTATATCAAACTAATCAGAAAATGTATGTATGTAATCTATGCTTAATGAGGGTCCATCCTCCCGTAAGGGCACAAAATGCAGCTTTCGCTGTCGAGTATGGACTCCGGACATGTCACCAGCCCTTAAAGAGTTAATTTTGAAGCACAAAGTGGTGATAATTGACTCCATGCAATTTCCACGGAGTATTAGCCAAAGACTGTACGGTGGTCAATGAGAACCTAACTGTGCAGTAACCTGTGACAATATGAAAGGGTAGCCCTGAAAAGGGATGTTGGTGCCAGCATAAGGCCTGCCGTTCAAGCTGTCTTACAGTGCTAAGGGCTCACGCACCTTAGCACACCATCCTCGTCGACACAAGCGCCTACTTTGTAGGGCCGCTCCCCTCGGCTTTAGTTAGGACATCGGCAGCTGGTCCGCAGCACAAGTTCCGATCATTTTTTGCCGTCCCCAGTCTTCAAATCTTCTACCGATGCCCTGTGTCTTCTCAACGACGCACACGTACCGAGAGAAAGAGAGAAAACTAATCAGAAAACCGCGAAACTCTTATATTTATAATGAATTGGTTATTAATGGGTAGTGTACAAGTTTTGCTAGCTATGTTATTGTTTGTTTATTCATGTCATATAATGTCACATTTTTCAGGTATAAAGATCATTCATGTTAACAAAGGGAGCGGTATTATGATACAATGTAACGTCACTATCGCCACTATACATACTGATATCTACTGGACTAAAAACTCAACAGATAGTACATTCAACGTTACTGGAATCAACCTTGTCTTTAACGACATCAGTAGCGCTGTTGATGGAGAGTACATTTGTCATTCGATGAACAGAAAGACGGGAGAAAATATCACACTTGAGACTATACAAGTCATGGTAAACTGTACGTCTGTTTATTTAGCTTTAAGTTACACTGTTTTTAAAGGGACTCCACTGAGGTTTTTTGACATGATGGAACTGAAAATATTTTTTCCAGATGAATGTACCATTTGATGTAGGTGAAGACCACTAATCTGTGTGCAAAATTTCAGATCAATCGCGCACTTCGTTTTTCCAGAATAATTATTCAAATTGTAAAAATATGACCCAAAATGAAAAGCGTTTAAATGGTTTTCACTTAAATCGGGCTAAGAAAAGCATAAAAATACGATTTTCAATTTATTTCAATATATATTTCCTAACTATATTTGCATATATTTCTGTTTAAAGTGTCCCAGCTCATTTCTGTACAAAATTCAAATGTTATGTTTTTAGACCTTTAAACCTCAGTGGAGTCCCTTTTAATGTTGGTAATAAATATTAAGATATATAAAGTTAAAGTGAAACATTGCTTAATATGTCGACAACGTTATAAAATGATCGACATTGCTTTAAAACGATGCGATTTCAACGCCGAATTTTGATGTTCAATCGTGACATTACAAGACTACTGCAAAATTAAAACCTTGAACGCATAAAATGATGTTTGCTATAAAACCCTTGAATTTTATTTTATATGAACCTTTTCGTTGTAATTATCAACTTCTGCCCAACATTTTAGAAGCACATAAGATGTATATTACAATATGTAGATCTATACATGTATAATAATGTATTTTCAGATGCGGCAACAGTAAAGGCAATCAATGTTACACCATCAGTAATGCAAGAAAATGACACGTTCACAGTAACATGCGAGTTTGATGGTAGTCCAGCACCAAAATGGCAAATTCGTCTGAAAGATTCAATAATTGCGATAGGACATGGCAGTGGTGTACATACAACCAAAGTAAAAACTGGAACGTGCGGGGATACCGGTCACGTGACTTGTAATGCGAAGAACAGCGTCAGCAATAACTCGGCGTCCCTAACGCAAAACATAACTGTCTTCTGTATGAGTATTTCTTATCCTATTTTAGCTCACATACTTTACTAGGTTATATTTACTGAAAACTTTCGTTTTCTATTAACCTTTAAAGTGGCGGAAAGTAATTTGAAACAACTGAATAAATTATGAGACAGAACAATTTAACAAGTGACAAAGGCTTTGAGGACATTTTTTTTATATAAATGCCAGAAGATATTTAGAGAAATCGAAAGCGCATCTTTGTCGATGAAAACAGCATACGGAATATTATGTTGTAGTAGCTTTCTGAGATTTTGTATTTTGGTACGAGCAGCGTGGAAAATTTATATCTCACGAGACCGAAGGTCGAGCGAGATATCAATTTTTCCAACGTTGTAAGTAGAAAAATGCATAGCCTCAGAAAGCAACTACAACATTATTTTCCTTTTATTATATACCTTTTCGATTGAAGTTAAATGGTTTTCATTATACTTCACTACTATAAGAAGCTTCAGAAAATGAAATGTAGCTGTTACGAAATAAAATTATGACTGACGGATGAATATGTCCTTTTTGTAAAACCGGCCACGCCTTTTATCATTTTGGTTCTCATGTCCAAATGCTACGTTTTACACAGCTAAGATCGGAGCAAACGTCAAAAATAGTCCGGCACTTCCATATATGGAACCGTATTTGTCACTTACATAATATGGAATTTTCTATCCGTTGAAGCGTATTTGCGCTTCAAGATTTGCGTGTATTTTAGGGAAAAATGTATAGGTATATAATAAAATGTCGTACGAGTGAATGTGTCGGAATTGTGTGTATCGGCTCTGCATCGGGTTGCTTGACTATACAGTTCATCTGCATCGAAATATTTGATAATTTTCCTTGTTAAAATCTGTTAATTTTTGTGATAACTTTATCCAGGTTCACCTCGCCCTATTTGGTTAAACAGATATAAGCTTACAGCCCCGGTGGGCGGGTTTACAGCGCTGATAATGATGGCACACGGGTTTCCGTATCCTAGCTACGTCTGGTCACGTGACGACGGAAAGCCAATGCGGAATCCGACACAGACCGATTTACCGGAAATATCAATACTGAATATCACAAACATACAGACCAGTGACTTTGGAAACTATTCTCTAACAATGAACAATTCTTATGGCTCGTATGTTGCTCATTACCAACTGCTACAGTCAGGTAAGACAAATTCTGTCTTAAAATCTTAAAACTTTATAATTAATGTTTAAGCGGGTGATAAGTAAATTTTAAAATTATTTTAAGTTTGCAATGAATATAATCAAAAGGGGAATAATCTATTAGAAGACCCAGCTGATCGATATTGGGTATTCCCGACTGCAGGGGGGGGGGGGGGGGGAGACATCAAAATCAAATTTTCACTCACTGTTCATAATTTACACAATCTTACTCGTTTTTTCAACTTCTCAAATATTAGCAGTGTCACTAGAAAGTTATATTTTAAGAAAGATAAATGTACTTTTAAAGTCCTTGTTTGTATCGAGTCTTTAAAAACGTCTTGCACATTGTAATAAAAATGTCAATTATCTCACAAGCAAGAACGACAACTTACTACGTCTATCTTGCTATCATTATGCGTATGTTTTATATTACAATGTAGATAAAAATAACATTCCGTGTGACAAAAACAAATATTTAATGAGATAATGAAATTGTTTTTTCTATCTTTCAGGACCGTCTAATAACAACGGTAATAATGCACTATCTCAGTACAATAGCGATAAGTGTAATGTAATATTTGGAATTATCACAACAATGGCGGTGTTTTTTACCTGCTGCAGACGACATTAAGTGTTTTTGATAATTTTATAATAGTTCACTAAAATGTATACCATACTTTTCTTTTGTAATGTAATTATGTTATTGTTGACAATTACCATCACATTTCCTTCTCTTAGGCGAAAGAGATTGGAGTTTAAAACCAGCGGGTCACAGTTATTTTTTCTTTTTTTTCTTTCTTTTTAATTTAATGAATAGTTATCATACATAATGTACTGGTAATAAATATCAAAACCAAAACAAACTGAAAAAATTAAAATGTTTAGATCAACATATTTTTAATTTGGATATATTCAACAAAAAGAAAAGTAGATATACTGTGTCTGTGTACAGTGAATTTTAAGCTACAATAACTGCTTGATATAAAATCACATTTCATGGTTGAACTTTATCCAAAAGATGTGTGCTTTCAAATTTTGCGGAAAAAAAAACTTTTAACTGCACCAACAAAGGGAAGATCAGTAAACAAGAACAGTACCACTTGTTCAAGGAAAAACTCACTAATTATAAGTCAGGAACATATCTTTATCTGTTTAAAAGAACTCTGTAGAAACCTTAGTTATTGTACAGATAATTAATAGGCATGATAACGGCTTTAGTTTCAATTTAAGCTGTGCTTTAAATTATGATTTGTTAACTGACAATATTTTAGGCAAACAATTTTAAGTCTATCAAAAAGCTAATAAAGTGGCTTTAAATGTATGGTGTTTTCTTTATTTCTATTTGGTATGTATGTAAGTTAATTTATTCTAATAGTTAATAAATGGTATTTATTTTTGTTATAGCTATAGAGACTAATAGGAAAAAGTAAATGTTATAAAGGGCAAATAAGAAAACTGTAAATTTTAAAAAAGGAATGTGACCGATAGTAGCTATTTAAAATAATATTTATTCTTATTAGTGTCTAACCAACCTAGTCGTTCGTAGGCCCTACTCGCCCAGTGTTTAGATGGTTAAATAAATGCTGTCTTATACCTCATGAACATACATTAAGCTTCATTTTGAAATCGTTATTCACGAGAACTGTTGTTGGTGTGCCGTATAGCTAACCAAACAAACACATTCGACTATGAAATAAATCAAATTTCAAATAATCGATGATGTTTTTTGATGGAATTCATCATCGATTATTTGAAAGCGATAAACTTGTATTCAAAGATCTGATTGGCTCTTTTTTTATTTTTATTTACAACGTTTTACATAATAGTTTAAGCCTATTTTAGCATTCGGCACGATATGGCCATTTATGTGTTGACGTGCCGTAAAATCCAAACAAACAAACAAACAAACTAAATACCTCATTTTCAACTATTTGAGGCCTCAAAAGGGGAGGAATAGGCGTTAAAAGACGTCCATATGAAGTAAGTAACTATTATTTACATTAAAATATGTTAAAATATGCATGTAGGTATTTAGACACCAAACACTTGTTTTTGTTTGAGAAAATGTGTAAAAGGTGAAAAATGGCCTCAGGGCGATCGTAAGGTATCATGTAAGACAAACTGATGTACAAAACTTTTATGATAATTTTTTAGCTGGTATCTTAATGTTATAAAATGATGGCATGTTATTCATATGCGGGGATTTAAATAGTCGCATTGGTGATAATTTTGATTACATTATTGGTGTTGATAATTTACCTGAAAGAAATATTGTTGATTATAAGTCAAATATGTATGGTGATTGTTTAATAGATTTTCTTATTGACAGTAACATGTGTGCTCTTATTGACAGTAACATGTGTGTTCTCAATGGTAGAACTATTAATAACAATGATTTATCTCTGTATCCACTAAGGTGTGTTCTGTGGTGGACTATTGCTTAGTTTAGCACGAGTATATGCATATATTTTATAATTACACAGTCAAAAGGTTCAACATCTTATAGATGAGATAAGTACAGTGAATGGTTTGTCTGATATGTCTATTCCGGATCACTCTGTGTGCAGTTTGGGACTTCATGTGAAAACCCTGCGAATAATCCGCCAGAAGTCATGATGTCAATGCTACATTTGACAAGTTTGATTTAAAAGGTCTTCCTGAAAATTTCATGTGTTCGAATGATGTTATAAATAGTATTCACCAATGTCTTTTAACCACTTGCCTCTCACCGCTATGGGTTCGAATCCCGACAGGGACTTTGGATTCTTTCATGTGAGAAAGCTATCCAGCTAGCTTACGGAACGTCGGTATTATTTTTGTGATATATCAAAAGCATTCGACAGGGTATGGCATCAAGGTCTGCTTTTTAAACTAAAACAATATGGTATTAAAGACCAGCTTCTTAGTTGGGTTACTGATTATCTCTCTGAAAGGAAACAATCGGTCTTTATAGGCTCTGAACTATCTTCCATCCTTAATATATCTGCAGGTGTCCCTCAAGGCTCAGCCCTTGGGCCTCTATTGTTTTTGATTTACGTCAATCATATTGCCGAAAACTTACTCTCTATTACTCGTCTTTTTGCAGACGACAGCTCTTTAGCTGTTTCTTCAAACAATATCGGCCTCATTGAAACAACTTTAAATCGTGACCTAAATATCATTAATGAATGGTCTAATCAATGGCTTGTGAGTTTCAATCCCAATACAACTGAAGTTATGTTTTTCTCTTCAAACACAAATCCTAAGCCAATTTTATTCTTTAATAACAATCGTCTTGACTTTGTTGATCGTCACAAACATTTAGGCTTGACAATTTCTCATGATCTCAAATGGCATGAACATATCGAAAAAATAATGTTATCAGCGTCAAAAGTTTTAAGTACAATGCGTGCATTAAAATTCAAACTTAAACGATCTACTATGAATAAAATATACATCTCTTATATGCGTCCGATTTTGGAATACGCCTCAGTAGTGTGGGACGGTTGTACATTAAACGAAAAGCAATCACTTGAACAATTGCTATACGAAGCCGCGCGCGTTGTTACTGGGTTAACTAGGTCTGTATCGATACATTCATTGATTAAAGAAGTAGGCTGGGTATCTCTTTCTGACAGACGTAAAATTCAAAAGTTAGTCACAAAGCAAAAAACGGCCTTGTCCCTCATTATCTTGAAGATCTCTTCCCAAGTACTGTTTCAGAAACATCAAACTATCCACTTCGAAATAATAACAATTATGCAACATTAACTCGTCGTACTGAAACGTATAATAGATCTTTCTTACCTTCAGCAATTGAACTTTGGAATTCACTTGATGCTAGTATTCGTAATGCAGAATCACTAAACATATTTAAAACTAGAATGAAAGAAATGTTCAAAGCTCCTATTGTACCTAAACATTTTTTAATAGGTGACAGACTATTATCAGTTTTACACTCACGTATAAGAAACAATTGCAGCGACCTAAATGGTGACCTAGTTAGAAATCATCTTAGTGAAAATCCCACATGTCATTGCGGAAATGCAGTTGAGAATGCTGAACATTTTTTCTTTAAGTGCCCGAGTTATCAAACGCAAAGAATAACACTCTTTACAGAAACTAGGACGTTCCACCCACTGAATACAAATCTACTGTTACTTGGTAGTGATAGCCTAGCATCGAAAGATAATGAAGTTATATTTACTGCTGTCCATAAATTTATTAAAAATACAAATCGATTCACTTATACCTAAACATTAAACCTTTATTGTAATCAGTTATACATGTACTTAGAATATTATATAAGAAGTAATTACAAATACCCTGTACCCAATATAAAGTAAATGCACATAACAGCCTTAACGAAACCCGTGACACTTAGGGGTGGGGGTGGGGGGTAGGTTATACTGAATCCTTAGATCATCAATATTTATAAATTTATAAAATACACGAACGTTGATTTCTATCTGTTCGATTACTTTATTGTATATTGTTAAAAATCGTTTCTTACGATTCATTCCATCAACAATTATACATGATATACACTATGTTTATGTTATATGCCATTAAGTATTGAATATAGTTTTTTCGTTTCATTATCTACCGGGGAGGACCGACCGCTAATGTTGTAAGAACTTGGGCCCAACCCGTTTGCTTTTGCTGTTTAAAATACATATGAAATTTGTATCTGTATTGTATATACATGTACATGTATATAGCAATAAAATATGATTAAACTATGGAACGTCGGTGGTACTACTTAGGTGCCCGTTCGTTCCTGAAATAATGCACGGAATGGCACATGAGGTCTTCCTCCACCAGTAAAGCTGGAACGTCGCGATATGACTTATACTGTGTCGATGTGACGTAAAACCCAAACAAACAAAAAAAACAATGTCTTTATAAGCTAGAACAAAATTAACAAGAGCTGATGTAGATACTGCATATGCAGATATTTGTCATAATATTAGGCATGAAATGTATAGTAAAAATCCATTTAAGAATATTAAAGTTAACAGTAGATCGTCTAATTAGAAAAGAAAAATAGGGAAAACATGGTAGAATAACAACTTATCTTTCCTTAGAAAAACTTTCTGCGATGCTGAAAGCAACTGGCTGTAATATGCGTGCTGAAAACCCGGTACTTAAATCTCGGTTTATTTTTGCGAGAAAGAATTTTGATAAGGCGGTACAGCAAAACAAGCAGAATGATTTATTGTTAGATTTGCAAATGTAACCAGACTGAATTTTGGAAAACCATTGGCATGGTAGGTGTTTCACAGTCAAGAAGTAGACATATACTTATGGAAGTTATTTCTGAACATAGTGTTTCAAATGATGTTAATACTGTTCTTGAGAAATAGAAAAATGATTTTAGCCAGCTTTTTAATAGTCTTAATACTGATTATATTACAAATACTGGAAATTATATATCTAGTGGTCATCATATGAATGACTATACAGAAATTGTAAACGACAATATATTTATTTTAGAAGTGTTTAATGCAGTCAAACAGGCTAAAAATGGTAAAGTCTGGCGTTGTGATAATACATCTATGGAAAACTTGAAAAATGGTTTCTATGTGTCTTTTCTTCATATTTTGTATAATATCTGTTTTTCAAAAGGAATTATTCCTTCTTCATGGAATAAGTTAATAATAAGCCCTATACCGAAATCAAGTACTGTCGATCCAAGATATCCATTGTCATATAGAGGCTTGTCATTGTCTTGCACCATGTATAAGATATATTGTACAATTTTGAATAACCGTTTATCAAAATGGGCAGGATCTAACAATATACTCAGTTATGAGCAAAATGGTTTTAGGAAAGGTTGCAGTACCATTGATCATGTGTCATCTTTTACTAATATTGTAGATACTAGAAAGAAACTTGATTATAATAAGACCGCTAAATGTATAGCTCAAAGTGCAGGTAGAGCACTGGGGTTACTTATTGCAAAATCAAAAGCATAAGGGTCCATGCCATATGATGTCTTTATTAAATTGTACGATTCATTGGTTTGGCCAGTCATTTCATATGGTGCTTCTATTTGGGGTAATAAGTCATTTTCCTTCATTGATGCGATACAGAAAAGGGGAAATGCGTTTTTATCTGGGGGTAGTGCGGTATACACCTACAGCAGCTTTGTATGGAGAATAAGCTTGTCAGCCTACACATGTGAAACAATGGAGATCTGTATGTCAACAATGGCATAGATTTGTTAGAATGGATGTAAATAGAGTTAATTATAAGATCTTTTATACTTGTTTGCGCAAGAGCATCAATAGGTGTAACAACTAGCAATTTATATTTAATTATCATATGGAAAAGTTAAAGTTAGTAGAG